AGGGACTTCAAAATATTTTCATACCCCCCTCGGAACTCAGAAATATCTTGATACGTGATACAACATGGAAAAAATTGATTTCTGAGAAACAAAAGTCTATCCTACTATAATTTTTTTTTAAATTTTGTCCGTAATCTTTTATTTTTTAAAGAGTTTTAATCATTAAGAGCATTGATTAATTCTTTTACGTTCATATGATCGCCCGGTATACTGTCAGGTTTTTGCAAAATGCCATACAAAAAGTCGATATATCTCTTGCAATATTGGTTGGAATGTAAAAATTAGGAATACAAGTTAAAAGTTTCTTTTATATCTTATGGGGTGCTACCCCAAAAAAATCTACTCCTTTTAATACTAGAATATATCTTTATACAATATACGAAAGATTGCGATTTTCGAAATGCGATAGTATATTCTATTATAATTATATTTTCCTATAGTTTTAATCTTGTTCTTTCGAATTCGAAGAAGTTTTAATCATTAATAGCGTTAATTATTTTTTTTACATACACACGCATATTTATAAAATTATTTAGATATTAACTCTAGTTACCCATTTTTTCAAAATCTAACTATATACACATACTTAATATTTGAACTGTCGAATACGCGACTCAGCCAGGACAGCCTTTTATTGATATGAAGTAATGCACAGTGTCGAGATAATCAATCAGTATCGCGGAAAAGAAGCAAGAATACTTGGGAGTATCGATTTAACATGCCTTATTTAAGAGTGGATTTGTTATTCTTTTTAATATATTTATGGTTTATGTTAATTTGAGGTAATGGATTTGTGAAAGATAATTATAAATAAATAAATAAATAAAAATATATATATATATGTATATATATATATGTATATAATCTATAATCATAAACACATTCAAAAATATTTGTAAGTAGAATATAAAACAAAAATTTGATGATTTGATCCACATTTAGCTAATGAAGCAAATCAATTTCTCAAGATTTATTTACAAGATGACATTTATATCTCAAATTTATTATATTCTACATATATCTTAATGGAAGCAATATATAAAAATGTGCATGTGATTATCAATATATTTGAATTCCTATAAAATAAGCTCCTATATCATTTATTAATAGTACATCAATGTTAATCATTAAAACAACTTTGTGTCACTGTGCTAAAAACTGTACTAAAAACGACGGAATTTATATGTCGCAAATAAATCTTGCAAAAAAATAATATATATCAGATCTAAATATTTTTTAAATAATTCTCCATTGCAAAAAAAAAGAAAGAAATCGATCACGATAAAGGAAAAAATATTTTATATGAACATACATTCGATACAAAGATAACAAATTAATTTCATAAAAAAAATTAAATTATATTCGAGAAACAGAAGTTACATTTAATTGTAAAATTGAGATTGTTCTATAATATCGCATAATGCAATGCAATACAAATGCTTAACAAAATGCATATTACAGAGTCATAGTAAATATCTCACTTTTGTCTTTAGCGCATTTAAGTCATCAGTTCCATATACAGAGGAATGCATCAACAGTGTCCCATACAGCATTCACAAAAATATGACTTCGTGACATGTGATTCACTGATTTTTCGCAAGCATGAAGTTGAATCATGCAATTAATTGTATGTAAGCGAAAAATACATTTCCCAAGTATTAGAAAAAATTTTTACTGCTGATTGTAAATACGCAGGACACCATCTCTGCACTTGGATGTATATAATCTCTATGTAAGATCTTAATCGATACCTGATCGCGTAAACGCATCCTCAGTAGTAGCTGACAAAGAATATCATCGATCATCAACGACGTATTATCCCTTATTCACATACAGGTGAAAGTAATTCTTGAAATAGAGGACGAGTTTGATGAGGGATAGAATGCACAGTATGTATAAAAAGATCGCAAAGAGGACGAGCAATGCCATTCGCGCATTTATATTTGTTTCTGTGTCATGTGTTCCGCGCGATCGGCCGCCGCTGGCCACCTGCCTGTTGGCCGGAGAATGTATCTGGTAACGGTAGGTGGCCTGAAGTCAAGCTCAGGAATACCAGCGGGACTTTTGCAATTCGATTTGGCCTTCCAGCGTTTTCGCGAGATAAATCACGAAAAGCTGACTGAGTGCGATACCCAGAGCGATACCTGCTATCGTATAGAGATTGCGTTCCGCCCAGCTACGCACGATCTCGATACATCCACTAGTCCAGACCTTTTTACTCGCTTCCGATATTGGTAACATCTGGACCTTGTAGCCGCACATTATATTTACAAGTCCACTCTGAAAATTGAAATTATTTTATTACATTGGGAATATATGTTTAAAAAAATACCTTTTTTTCACTTTTGGCAGAAATTAAAAAATTTTGTTCAATTATATATATCTATCTTTCTTATTTTATGCGTAACATATAATGCACGTACAGATATATCGGTAGCATTTATGCAACAAGAGAATGGGACGCCGCAACGCTCTACACTAGGGCTAGTACAATTAAAATATTCATTCTTTCCCCAGTCCAGGTATCCCTCTTGGCTTAAGCCGCAACATTTGAACTGTAATGGAAAATTTTATAAATATTCTTATACAAAATTAAATAATTTATATAAACATAAGAGATACATTTATACATTATTTCAATAACTTTATATAATTTTATCCGCATAATTTTTACCTCTTGCTGCCCAAAATCAATGAAATTTTGCAAATCTGGATCTTCTCTATATGTTTGAATTATTTTATCTGTGAAAGATTGTTTCAAAAGAGGCTGTAATGCGGTTGGAAATACAAAACCGACGATTGCCACACCCATTTCCAGAAGGAAAAATACCAGAAGACACAATGAATACTGGAAAAAGTCATTTAGTCAAACAATGAAATATATTTTATATATGGAAGAATTATTTCATATACAAAAAAACCAACAAATTTAAGGAGGCATGTGTTCTCACGAAGAGCTCCTACGCATCCTGCGAAACTAACGACAAAGACGACGCCACCAGCTATCAGCATCACCAAAGAGATGTTTAAGACTACATCATAAACGTTTTCCACTCTGACAGATCCAGTCGCTTGCCATTTATCCAAGAAAGCATATAGACCTACACCGATTAACAGCCCGCCAAACAGCTAAACAAAAAGAAAATCATGTTTGTCTATCACATTGATTGAATAATTTCTGTCTTGTATTGGATAATGTCCATCTTGTATTGAATAATGACCATCTTCATCTCTGCACTATCTTTAATAGACTGGTTTCTTCTTCCAATATAAAAGTAAATAGAGATGTATTAGCTAAGTTTTACTAACAATTGAAATTAATTCATATTAGTGAAAGCATAAATATGTCGGCTATATATCTCTTGCCTCATTCAGTAACAAATAGCAAATTATGTTTGCAGATAAGTAGCGTGATTAAAAAAACGTTCTGCAAAAATGCAAAAATACAATCTTAGGAAGAAATCACTCACCCAGAAGACGAAATTCAGCATAAAGATCATTAATGTCCATCTTGTATTGAATAATGACCATCTTCATCTCTGCACTATCTTTAATAGACTGGTTTCTTCTTCCAATATAAAAGTAAATAGAGATGTATTAGCTAAGTGTTACTAACAATTGAAATTAATTCATATTAGTGAAAGCATAAATATGTCGGCTATATATCTCTTGCCTCATTCAGTAACAAATAGCAAATTATATTTGCAGATAAGTAGCGTGATTAAAAAAACGTTCTGCACACAAGAATGCAAAAATACAATCTTAGGAAGAAATCACTCACCCAGAAGACGAAATTCAGCATAAAGATCATGTATTTCACGCACGAGCTGACGTATGTAAAGTTATTGCTCCGCCTGCGATTATTCATCATTGTGTCTGAGAGAGACTCGATAGGTTTCACGACGAGTGATTAGTGTCCTCGAAGCGCACACACAATCGAGCACAACAGACGTTGCTTCAACCTACGGCGATAAAACACAACTTGTGTCGTTGCAACATACTTCAATAGCTTCCACTCGTTCCGCCATTACGACGTTTCTCGTCATGACGTTCCTGTGTTCGCGTTTCTCGCGATCAGCTGTTCCGCGTTCCACGATGACAGTACGCAAGTAGTTTATTTAGATCTGTTCGTTTTTCTTGTACTTTCTACACTCACGTTATTTACTTTCTCATTCTATTACCAAAAATGTCAAAATTTATTGAATGAGATTATTGAATTTGCGAGATGATAAATTAAAATATTTGTTGAAGTTGAAATACTCTAGTTTCTACGTGAAATACGTGGCAAAATACGAAGAACTCAAACCTTTCGGATTTGATTCTGGTAACGTAGAGAGATTGGTAGCACTATCCGGGATGCGTTCGGAAATCCTATATCCCATAGGGTAAAGTTTAATTAACCAATTAGGAGCAAAGATTTCTTTGTCCTGATTGGTCAATTAAATGCTACTCTATTTCATGAGTAGGATTTCCGAACGTATTCTCACATGCTCGAACGCGCGCGCTAAAATCAGTCCCGAACGATAGAACTGGATGGAATGAAATGTTTTCGTGTTTTTAAATAGTTGCATAGATATACAACAAATTATATTCGCAACTCTGTTAGCTTCTAAATAGCGCGTATTTTGCGAAATAACAGCAATTTGTGCAAATTTTTAGGAGATACGATGGCGTCGATGCAGGACAGTAAGTTTAGCTGATGTGTTTTTATACGTGATATCTATGATTTATAGGTTAAGACAACCATCGTAAAAAGGATGTTTTGATCTTAAATCAAGCAGATTTTTAATGATTTTATACACTCGTTGTTACTTATAAAATATCCTATTAACTATTTCTCTATTCGAACTTTAAGAAAATGAATAAATACTTGTAATAAATAAATAAAATAATAAGGTTTTGATAATGTATATATGTATGTATAAACAAAGAATGTCATTATTTTGTGTTATTCATACTTAATTTTTTATTTAATATATATGAAAAAACTGCATCTAATTAAATAAATTTAATTTTAGGACTAAAACTTAAGCGTGTAAACTGTGATGCATGGACCACACGGGAACAATTGTGTCTTGCATCAAGTGTACTGAAATCTGGAGATCAAAATTGGATGAGTGTGTCTAGATCGTTGAAGCCGTTTATCGAAAAAGAACCGCTAAGGCCTCCAGATTGGTTTTCGCAAAAATCATGTGCCATGCAATATGCATCTTTACTCGAGAATGCCGACACACCGAAACGGAAAAAACGAGAGAGTGGCGAAACCACCAGTGAATCCATAGTCAGAAGATTGACGCAGGAGAGAGTAACCGAACTGAGTCAGACTCTGGCCTGTCAGAAGGAAGAATATCTGCGGCTTAAAGCGGATATAAACCTGCTTAAATCTGGCGCTGTAAGCGACGAGAAGCTAGAGAAGATGTGGCTCGAAATACAACAGGAAGAACGCGAAACGGATCAAAAGACGCGGGCTCATATGGCATGGTTGACAAAACGTCAACAGCAGCAAAAGCAAGAGATGAGTTTGTCGCCCATTGTTTCGTCTTCAATCGCAAATCAAACTCGCAAACACGCGGAGGGCACGATGGAAGTGGCGCAGCCGGAGCTCGTGTCCGAGTCCACGTCGGAGAACGATGACGAGAGAAAAAATAACCGAGGCGGTAGATCTCCATTGCTGACAAGCCTGCTGAAATCTCCCAGTCCTACCACTCAAGCTGTACAGACCTACCCGTCCACTCCTGTCCAAGTGAGCTCGCCGACCATCACCAGTCTACTCGGATCCAATTCGAAAATATTGAACGCCCAATTAACGCAGAATGTGTCACCGCAGTTGCAGCAGTTGGTCTCAACAGCGATCGCCAGTGCGAATGCGACATCGCCGCCATCCGTCGGCGCGCCCACGCTTTCTATGCTACTGGAAATGCCAGCTACCACCCAAAGAGGACCTCTACCGAAATTGCAAACAACCACCTCTGTAGGGATTGTGTCTCAACAACAGCAAGCAGCCGCGGCTGTAGCCCCTACCGCCAGCACCGAGATGCATAAATTCGAGCCAACGATCCAACCGCAATCCCAGATTCGCCAGATGAATATTCAGAATGAGGTAGCGAACGTGGCGACGGTAACGGTGCCAACAGCAACGATATCAGCGGCCGCAGCGACGGTTTCGGCGCTCACCGCAGTTGTCACCGCACCAACAAATGTGCCCGTATCAGAGAATATGGTGCAGATAATTGATCACATAGATGATGTGCTACGCAAGGACATAATGGCAGACGTGATGGACAAGGATGAGATAAACGAGATCATCGGTGACATCGAAGAATTGATCAAGGAAGAGATCACTGGCAGCCCGCAAACCCTAGACACGAGCGCCTCGACAATGACAACGACGATATCGACGGCGGTTATCAGTAATCTTTCAAGCATGCCCCGTCAAACAGCGGAAATTCCGATAGTAGTCCCGAAAGTAGAACCGAAGCCAGAGCCGAGAGACGTGGACGAGACAGTATCGTTGTCTGATTCGCCGCGAAGCGAAATGGCGATCGAAGAGATCGACTCCAGTACCTCGAATATCGCCGAGATCATTGGAACTGTCGCTATAGAACCGCAAGAACCCAAAATTATCGTCGCGGAAATAACGGAAATCATATCTAATACACCAGAAGAAATAAAGTCCGAGACGAGTGCTTGCGATGACGAGAGGGTGGCTTTGACTGAGGAGCTTGTTCCAGAACTAGAAACTAACGATGAAGAAAATAGCAAGGATACCCCAATGGAGGAAAAACAATCGGATATTGAAATAAAATCGGTGGACACCGTGCCCTCAAACGTTGAAGTGAATAATTCTAAGCTGCCGGACGAAACAAAGGAAGCAATGGAGGATACCGTAGTGGAAACAGAGGTAGAAGAAGAGGACGGAGACAAAGAGGAGGAAACGGAAGTGATTACACATGATGACAAGGAATCATCGGAGAGTGTCAAAGAGCTGAAGGAGTCTCCAGAAGATACTGAAGGTAAAAATAATGCAAGATTAGATCAATTAGAAATACATTTGGCCAAAATTACAGGAGATCAGCAGGATGTACCATCCACGGAAGTGGTCAGCGTCTCTTCGGAAGTGACAAATGATTTACCTAGTACCGAAGACACAGAGAAGTCGCAGGACATCAGCCTGATTCTGGAGGACGATGAAAGCAGTCAGAATTCGGAGAATAAGAAGAAAGCGATGGCGGAGGAGCAGATTATCGAAAACACGGTCGAAAGCACCGAGTCTTTGGAATCGTTCAAGGAAGATTCGATCATAATGAAAGAAAAAACCATAGCAGAAGTAAAGGAAGAGTCCTCAGTGAAATCACAGGAAGAAGAAGCCATCGAGGAAACACTGGAGATATATACGGACGAATTTAAAAAGGAGGAAGTCAAGGATTCCTCGGAGGATACAACAAGCTCCATTTTGCAGGACGCACAAATTAAGGAGGAAGAAATCGGTAGTGAGCCAGTTGTTCTCTCAGCAGCTGAGAACGCCTCGCCTGTAGTAACCGTAGAGGAAGTAAAGAACATCAAGAATGAGCCGATAGAGGTTGCGACGGCCGACGCAGACGTGACTAGTATTAAGAAAATTGAGAGCGCGGAAGTTAAACCCGAGGAACCGAAAACCAAAAGCGAAATAAATGCTACCGATGCGTTTTGCACGAAGAGTCCGCTTCCACCGGAAGAAGACAAAAAGGAAATTGTGGAGATGAAACAGGAGAAAGAGGACACCAAGAAGAACGTAGAGAGCGAACAGAGTATAAAGAAGGAAATAGAATCTACGGAAGAACCTGTGGAATTGGACGAAGAGGAATCTTCATTAAGTAAACTGAGTGGCGGACGAGCGATGAAAACATACTCTAAGAAGCAAAACATCACTGTGGACAGTGAACCGGAGAACGAGGGCACGGGCGAGGGCGCAGATTATCGCGCCTGGAAGAAAGCGGTTATGCTTGTCTACAATCGTTTAGCCACGCACAAGTACGCGTCGGTATTCCTCAGACCGATCACGGAGGACCAAGCGCCTGGATATCATTCAGTGATCTTCCGACCGATGGATCTGTCGACTATCAAAAAAAACATTGACAACGGCACGATTAGATCGACCATGCACTTTCAGAGGGATGTTATGCTTATGTTTCAGAACGCCATTATGTACAACAAACATGATACGTTTATCTATAAAATGGCAGTTTCGATGCAAGAAGAGTGCTTGCAACATATGCAGGTAAAGAAAATATAGTTTATTAATCGTACATATATTTTTTTTTTTTTGCTAAAAATTATATGTATAGTTCTAAACTATTTAAAAGTGTATTAAATATTAGGATTATTTGAAAGTGTTTTAGAGAATTATCAATCAGAGAAAAAGCAATTTCATATATGCACAGCGAGTAAAAATATTTTTACATGCATTTTAGATTGTATTATTGCACATCTCTTATAATATCTTAAACAATGCACGTGTAATATTGAGTATCATTAATTATGTGATTGATTTTAGATATTAGTACAAGTAACGGGAGAGGGATCCTTTCGAAGGGAGACCAGAACTGCTGCGAGCAGTAGCAGCGAGGCAAGCGAGAGCAGCATTAAGCGAAAAAGAAGTCACATCACTCCGAGTCCTCACGACACCGACAGTCCGCGTTCGAAGAAACGCAGAAAATCCGAAAACGATTAATTACATTAACAAGCTATATAAATGAAACAGAAAGATTTGCGTTTGTGTCTCGAACATATTGGAGATGAAGGAAGGTAATGTGAAAGAGAAAAAGTAAGAAACAGGCATTGAGAACTATGTATTGGTATCGCCTGTGATAATATAAGCGATACCCGAAACATATGGGAGAAGTTTGTGATATAATTATTTTACATCTATTATGAGATAGATTTAATTCTCTTACTTTATAATTAATTATAAAGCTACGATATTCATGTGACAACTCTGACAGCTATAAAATGTTTAAATATTATAAAATTATTTCTTTAATTTGACTCTTGTTCGTTATCTCTCTTCTTTATTTTTAAATATTAAAAAGATTAACAAAGATGAAAAGATAAGTATAATATAAATAAGTTTTTTTTTGCTGTCAAAGATGTCTATTGTACATTTAGTTTCTTGCAAACGTGTAATAAACAAAGATTCAGAAGAAGATCGATGCGTTTCACGGAATTAAGTATGTACTTAAGTTAGTCATCCGACAAACTTACATGATCGCGCGATAACCTGACATAAATACCACAAATTACGAAAAAAACACTACACATCTCGCCTTTGTATATATTCGGTAAATTGTTTATTCGATTATATCATCAAAATTTACTAGTATGTTTAAATAACCGTAAAATATCGCGCATCATATATATAATTATAACTTGTGCATGTGACTTGTATACATATGTAACTTTGAAATATGGGTTATTATTGCGCTTGGGGAGATGCGAAGATGTGTAGTTCCGAAGAGGAAGGTTATGAATATCGTGCTTCTGATGGTAGAGAAAAGAGAAGGGATCGCGTTTTGGACACCTTCGGCGAAATTGTAAGCAAAGTGGCGATGAAAAAGAATATATGGGCGAGGATTATTGCACGAATTGGGGATCTAAAAACTCTATCATATTTCAAACGCGAATGAGATTATTGTATGTCAAAGATATATATTAATTTTATAAAAGTTGCGGAGATAGTCGCAAATGACATTAAAGTAGCAAATCTGACAATCTGCTTGTTTTCCAAAGAGTCAAAATTATACTCTGACTAATCAGAGCAAAATTTAATTTTTAACATTACATTGCATTATTGTATCTAAGCCGTAAAATTGTTCATTAATCGCGTATTTAAAGCCTTCCGGTGCAGTTTTACCGATATCGGACGATGCCGATCGGCAATTCTGGGCGGAAGACGAATTGAGCAACTCGGAATCGCGACATAAATTAACCGCGAGAAGGAAGCGTCGGCATAGTGTTTCCTATAGGAATCGCACCGTGAACAGAAGCCGATCTTGCGCTCCCAATTCCTCGACTTCTAGCTCCGATTCGATTTGTACAAGAGAGACTTCGCCAAAAGGTTTAGTCCTTTAAAATTGTTTCATTAGAATATATTTCTCCGATCATTCATTATTTTAAGTTTTTAAAGTTGTAAAATTATATATATATGTTACATATATATATCTAAATATGCTAATTTTAGAATCGATATGCAATTATCTGCAGCTTGCAAAATGCGAAAATGTCGGCGACAGAAGCCGAAGACAAAGAAATTACAATCTATCAATACAGAGAAAGAATCGAGTACAAGTATCGAGGAAACAGTCTGCACAATGAACGAAGTATTCTCTCCGGAATGTCAAACTGCATCTACTTCTGACAAAAAATCAGCTAGTTTGCATTGTGAAAATCATCGGGCGAGCTCGTCATACAGAAATCATCGTAAACGAGCGAACGAAACGTTACGTGCGAAAAAAATCGGATTGCAAAAGACGCGCGATTCATTTAACAACAAGTAACATTCCAGTGATTACGACTAAAGTCAAGAAATTTTTTTACAGAAACGGTAAGTTCTGAGAATAATTGCGAGGTTCTTTGTATTACTTTTATTGAATTGTCGTTAATTATTTTAAAGAAAAACTATTACGATTTTCAAAAAATTATCAAGATTTTTTCTCAATTCACGATATTAGTTCATTTTTGTTTTGAAAAATGAGACCATACGAATATAGAACCATCTCTCTCTCTCTCTCTCTCTCTCTCTCTTTTTTGTCACGTCCGCCTCAATCGCTTTATCTCGACGCGAGGCGGAAGTTCCGATTATTCGATTTGTCAATTGTTCGCCGATGCGCAAAAAGAGCGGCGAATGCGCGTTTGACGTGTGACATTCGCGACGTCGGTTCGACTAACCCGGGGAAACCTGGGAAAACTTCTTTGACCACGATGAACTACTTCGCGAGCAATAATTGGGGCAAGAATCAGTATCAGAATCTGAACGATGCCCATATACAAAGCAGTGAGTTACAATTCGTGATATGCGTGGAATGAATATCGAGAAAATGCATGGGACAAACATCATGATTTTCTGCCTCGCTCGCCTCGATCTAAACTAAATCTCGCTTTAATCTGAAACCTGAAACGGACACTTTCTCGCAACTGTCTTCTCTTTCTCAATTAACGCGAATCATCCTCTCTTATATGCGAATTATCCTCTCTTATCGCCGGTAAGGCGAACGGTGCTGCCGCTATCTTTGCCGGGAAATTTCCGGTCACGTGATCATATTTTGATTTATAATTTGTATTCGTATGCGATTCTCAAGTTATAAATTTATTTATTGATTTGTATATCTGTTTTGTACGTTATTAATATTAATACATTTTGAAAGCATTCATATTTACATATAGTTCTTTCATTCTTTACAGTCTAGTATGTTTTTTCTTGCTGACAAATTATTCATTTTTTTCTATTGCAGACTCGACAATCCGCTTCATTCTCTGTTGCACTGCATTGGGTCTATGTTCGACACTGTTGATACTCTCGTTATGGAATCCTAATGCATATATTCCAACAATCCGTACACATGTATTGCACTTGGATCGACGGCAATCTCTCCTACACACAGTTTCTGACAAGTTTTTATCATTTGGTCTCGACACGTCCTTACTTCGAAGGATGAACGAATTGCCCGTCGAACAGGAGAAATTTATCAACTTGGGCCGTCATTTGAGCCCCGCTTATGTTAGAGTGGGTGGAACATCTGCGGATTGCCTAATATTTGATCAGAATCAGGTTGGTTCGCAAATATGTTTCTTCTTGTAATATAAAATAATCTTATGAGTTATTAATATAATATTGACAGAAATTCTATTTACCTATTTTATCTATTTCCCAAGTCACAGATATTAATTACTATAAATCTATTTGGAATCTCAATTTGCCGCTATTTTAATGTATTTCATAATTCAGATTGTGCAACGCTCATCTGAAGAGATTCTCAGTCCTGTGGATGGCCAAGATATCAGCAATTTTACCATTTCTGGCACAGACTTGCTCACTGTCTACAATTTTGCAGTGAAGTCCAAGTTGCGAATGATCTTTGATCTGAATGTGTTGCTCAGAAATCCAGATGGATCTTGGAATGACACTAATGCGCAAAAGATTATCACCTTTGCTAAGAATCATGCCATGGAATTAGATTGGCAATTAGGAAATGGTAAGTAAATATAACAAAGGCAAAGAGTTGATATATGTAAAAAAACTTTGTATAATTACAATAACGCGTAAAATTCGGATTATTTATTCCGAACATCTTCAGAACCGAATTCCTTTAAACACGTATTCAACATGACGATCTCCGCAAACGAACTTGCAAAGAATTATGATCGTTTGAGGCAATTGTTAGACGAGGCGGGGTACGTCGATAGCATCCTCGTCGGACCGGAAGTGAATCATGTCGGAGAACGGAGTCATATGGGAGAGGAATATGCTGAGATATTTTTAAGAAGTCAAAGCAGTACTGTGAATTATATCACTTGGCATCAGTATTATCTGAATGGGCGAGAAGCTATAGTTAAAGACTTTGTGAATCCTCTCATATTTAATTGGTTACCGGCACAAATCAAATCCATGGGGGAATTCATCGCTGCATCAGGGAAAAATGTTTCTATGTGGCTGTGTATGTATTTTACATTAGAATTGGGAAAAAAGTTCTCTCTTTAGATTTATAATCTTATTTCTCGCTTTTAGTTCAATTTTCAGAGAACAATTTCCCTAAATCATACTTATACTCCAGTAATTATACATATATATGTATTTATCGTTTTTAAACATGTAATTATTTTTAAGACTGTAGCAAACGTGCCATTTTTTTTTATCGCAATCGCATTGCGATTAGTAAGCGCGAGAAGTTAAATTTAATAAAAAGCATAAAAGATATATAATTGACAGCGGAAACCAGCACTGCGTATGGAGGAGGAGCGCCCGAATTATCCGACAGATTCGTAGCCGGATTTCTGTGGCTGGATAAATTGGGCTACAGTGCTAGCGCGGGATTGAACGTCGTCACTAGACAGTCACTATTCGGTGGAGATTACGCTATGATATCGCTGAACCTTACGCCAAATCCCGATTGGTGGGTCAGCGTCTTTTATAAGCAATTCGTATCGGAGAAAGTCCTGAAATTGCTCACGTCTGACAATTTCGGTTATGTACGACTTTACGCGCATTGCACGCCGAAAGAAGCTCGGATCGCCAGAGTGCCGGCGGTCACAATTTATGGAATGAATATGGACAAGATCGCAGTTCATATAAATATTCCAGAAGTTGTACACTCTGGTAAAATTGTGAAGATATTCTTTTACTCTTTGACCGCCGACAATCTTCAATCAAGGTACGTAAAACAAAAAAAATTTAATTTTTTTATAATTGAACATGTGTCTATACGTAATTCTCTGAATTTTAACTTTTTGATATGAAGAAATTATATACATTGTATAGAAATTATTATATTGTAAACCAAAATTTCAACGGCAACATCTAATTAAAGCGTTAAACGGTTTATCAAAGTGAGAAGATGAGAATCAATGTAAATCTAAAAATAAGAATTACTATTTTATTTTTTTGCAGCGAGATAAAATTGAATGGCAAAGTATTGAAGCTGCAGCCGAACGGAGACCTACCGCCGTTTCAATCTATAATATTGGATCCTACGTATCCTGTGATCTTACCACCGTATTCCATGGTATTTATGATAATTCACGGTATCGATATTCCAGTCTGTGAATGAATTGTCAAAGAATTGTCACGAATCTCATTTTTACGCGACGTTTATATTCTGTATATATCTTTCTTATACATTATATTAAAGATTTATATATATATATATATATATATTGTAGCTTATATATTACATATTTTTACAAATTCTTATTAATAAGTAAGCCGCTTATATAAGCGTGAGTACCATTTTCTGAAGGCGCTTCCTTGGCTAAAATTTTATCTGTCTATTGTATAACAGCTTTTAGTTTATGATCTGTTTTACTTTGTTACTTTTCTCAAAGATAATAAATATTACAATGCGCTGTACAAATGAATAGTCAATGGTATTGCACACAACTGTGGATACATATGGTTACACAAAATTCTTTTTTCTATTGATGATGTACGCTTTAGTGTTTGTGTCTGTATTTGGCATATATGGTGTACATTGTGCACTATCTTAATTCATATATAGTCAAATAATTTTATATAAGTTTTTCTCTAGGTATAGTATATACTAAATGCTAACAAGAATTTCATAATCATTATATCATACAAACAACAAACACGCAAATATTAAACGATATAAATATCGAAATTAAGGTAAGGATATCATACAACGGAATGATATTTATACATCGAATAAAATTCTTTATAATAAGAGTGGCATTATCATTACTACTCTTTTGATAGGATCTTGTTTCTAACAATATATGATATTCAAATAAGGGAATTAAATGTTCAGAACACAATTGTAATTGCGAACAATTGACACAAGATACTATGACTTGATATTATCTATACTATAATAGATTTCGCACGAGTAATACTTACAATCGCATTACGCAGAAAAGTCTCCATTATTATTATCTCTCTACTCCGCAGAAGAGATCGTGATAGTTTTTCCTTTAGGATCATCGAATCTGTCCATTGTTCGGATATCCATGATCATAGTGAGTGCCCATATCATAATTAAGGCCAGTATCGCGGTTACGAATATTCCCGTCCAAATCGGTATACTAGTGAAGCCAACACAGTCGTATGCATCGCTGAACATCGCATTCGTATGATTGACTTGGACTTGCATATCCATGATACGTAATCGCACGGTATCGTTAGCAAAGATGGTGTGCAATGAACAGTGATAAGAAAACGTTTTTGGGAAATAAATGTCCCGCTTGGTCAATAGAACGCCGTTTTTGCCGTTTATATCATAAGTGATCTTATCCAATGTGTAGTAGCCCATGCTTTTAACCGGAAAGGAGAAATCCAGCATCAGATTGTTAATGTCCTCAATGTTGGAAAACTTGATGGTTAAAATCAATGTATCATCTTTCTCATGAGTTGATGCTCCAGTTACTTTGGATGCAGGAAGTTCTAAAGCATTTTTTGAGTTTTCAGGTATCTGCAATGAAAAGACTTATTTTATCTATGTAAGTTTTATTAATATATTCTGTTTTCATTGATATCAATGTTTCTCTTAGTATTTTTGGTAAATTGTTTGTTTTTTTATTGCTTTTAATGTATAAAAATTAAAAAAAAAGACCCTAAAGTTTTCTGAAATTTATTATAGGATTACTTGTATAATATTAAATTCAACAACTATTTTACCTCGAAGTACAGTGATTTACTGGAATAGAACAAAACTTTATCAGTTTTTATCTTAAATTCTGTGGTATCGTTTTCAGAAGCTTCCCTTTTTATGCGTTCAGTTTGACTATAACGGCATTGCTTTCCTGTAAGTGCTATGCACTCGCTTGAATCGGTGTCCTTCAAAACCATGTTTAACTCATGATCATCGTTTATGTCCTCTATCGTTCTTATCTGTTTGTCGCTATAAATCTTTTCAAAAATCGTGTTCGGTTTGAGAACACACGGGAAATAATATAATTTCGAGCCGTTGGTGGCGATTGACAGTACCTATAACATTCGTACAACAATTTTATCTCATAATCTCTAAAAATAAATAATGTATACTCTTTTTTTGTGGAACAGATTTGCAGGAAACTATAGCCAAGAAGAATGTAGATTGACAAGCAATGAAAGTTCTTTTCTAACCTTGTTATTTTTCAGATCCTCAACGCACAATTCTTCGGCGACGACAATCGTTGGTTCCATCACGCCCGACTGTGACAGGATCTCTTCGAATTCCTCCGACGACAGTTTCTGTCGCGGATTTGAGCGTGCCATTTTCAACGGCGAATTGTGATCGGACGATTCGTTGTGCGGGCACCATATCACAACGGGCGTACCGGCATGGGAAAACGCGAATTGACAAAGAGCGGTGCGTGGAGCGGGCTCGCTTTTCTCGCACTACCTGTCATCGTAAAGCTGAATTTGGAGCGAGTCGAGCCAAATGCACAGATCAAGAGAGCACCACACTAACAAGAGCAGAAGGCACTCCGAAGCACCTGACTACCACCTCGTGATCATATGATGCGCGTCACGTGGTCGATATGTTTCCGGATTTTGAAAGAACGCTACACGCCTATCGCAAGGTATCTCGTAAGATAAAAGAATATTGATGAAAGATATAAGAAAAATCCCCCTCTTCTTTCTTCGAGGACTTTTCTTACTCATCTTCTATATAGAATCTAATAATAATAATAATAAACACATTTAAAAAAATTTTTTGAAGGCATTATTATATACTATAATACAAAATTACTTACTGTATAATGAAAACTTTATTTTATATAATTAATATAGTAATACGTATAATAAAAACAAAATAAAAAACTTAATATAATATAATAAAACTTAATATAATAAAAACTACTAAATTGAATTTATTCTTTTTCTATTAAAGTTTGATTATAATGCTATATTAGGAACTTAATTTGTTAGTAGCAGTCACAATATTTTGCGCAATTAATAAATTGCTAACAAGTTAACTTCAATTTGCATTAAAAATGAGCAATACTCTACCTGCACCTATATACCTATTTTAAAAAATACGTTCAATGTTTGAAACAGATCCAATTTTAGTCCGTTTATAATCCTTAAAATGGACATTTTTCGGATGTCCAAGAAAGTAACACTGGACATCTTTAAAATGTCCTAAAAATGACTGAGGCTCTAATGTCTTGATGTTTCAAATACGTACGAAACGTCCAATACGTATATTTTTAATACGTTTTTAAAACGTCATTGTGCTGTCTGGGTAATACCTGTTTTAATGTTAACGTTTAATGTTTAGCAATTATTTCAGGATAATCGCGTTTTGAAATTGTGAATTTTGATTTAGCGATCATTTCAGAGTAGTTATGTATGTACGTCTTTTGAGAGAAATTGTATCTGTTTGTATATCTTCTTCGAACATAAAAAAATTACGAAATTATTGTAAACGATAATGGCTAACATTAAAAGCGAGAAGAGGACCGAAACCGTTATATATTCTGTAAATATCACTAAGTATATATAATATTTTAATTTATATGATTTGCCATTCATATCAATTAGACACAAGATGATTAATAAATGAAAACTTGCTTACTTTTATTGAACAACAAAAATACAAAATTTATTCGAGGAACGACTTGTGATTTTGCGTCAACTGACTTGTTTTATACATAACATACACATTATTTATTTATTATTGATTAATTATATATCTATTCCTTCTAGCAACTCCAACCATGGAGTACAATCGGTATTCTATCATGTATGGAACAAGCTGCTGATCTTCCAGTTTCGGTCAGAACTGGAGAATTTCGCAAAACCTCAAAGTCTCATCCTTGGCATCCTACATTGGGATACAAAATTCTGGAGACGGCTCCCTTGTAGGTAACTTTTTATCTTTCCAAAAATTAAAAACGCATATATATCTCCAATTTTTTAATTAGTAAACATTTTACACTATTTTTCATAAAAAACTGTGATTTTTAAACAATTAAATATCATTAGTATATGTATTTCTCTTATCGTCTATATATATATAGCATTAAAAATTAATAATTTAGTAACATTTTCCTTGTGATATAGTTATTAAAATATTATAACAAATAGTTTACATACACAGTACAAGATAAATTTAATTTCAAGATATTATGTTCAAAAATGTTTCTCTTATTTAAAAAAAAAGGATAATCTATTCTGCATAGGTTTGCACAACCCATAACGAATTTGATGATGGGCGCTTCTCGCATACCACATGGAATGACGACGAAGCCTTTAAAATTTCCGAATTTAGTAACTGGTTTTGATCGTAGTCCTTCGCACGCGGCACGTGCTGCGCTTAATAAAAATACGATCCTAGGTGATTATTAAAAATTTTCTATTCGTAAACGGATGTGTAGTATTTGATTCAAAAAAAAGCAAGGTTTGCACAACCCATAACGAATTTGATGATGGGCGCTTCTCGCATACCACATGGAATGACGACGAAGCCTTTAAAATTTCCGAATTTAGTAACTGGTTTTGATCGTAGTCCTTCGCACGCGGCACGTGCTGCGCTTAATATGCGATACACTCTATATGATTGGAAGCAGAATCAAATCAGACTCTACAATGAAGCGGATGTGAATATGTGTTATTCCGAAAAATTACGCAAGGACAGTGAACGCTTAATAAAGTAGGCGAAATCTTCAAAGTTCGATACTTAATGTATCTATTTTTAAATTAAATAAAAAATTGTTCATAGGTTTTTTAACATTAATTTTTCTTTGATTTAATGTCTCTGTATTTTTTTAATAAAAAGTTTTGAATTGAAATTTGTCTTTAAAATTAAAATTAAATAAATTATATGTAATCGGATAATACTTCCATACAAAAAGTATACTGTGTTGCTGTGTTATAATTATTTATCTCAGAGAAGCTGACGAAATGATACAAAAGAAACAAATAAAGAATAGCCGAAAACTTGAAGAGAGGATTACTTCTTGGTGGAACGAAATAGCGTCGGAGTTGGAGAAGTTAATCACCGAAGACGATAAAATGCAGGAATGTCGTCACGATCTGCAAATTACGATTCAGAATATCGAGCGACAGCTACATATCGCGCAAGAATGTCTTTATCATCGAGAGTCAAGAAAAGGTACTTCGCTTTATATTGGAATATAATAGACTCAGTCACTAGATGTATCAATTGAAAATAAATAATCGATATAAAAACATAATATATCCTCGAATGAGAGTTGAGTTCCTGTAAAAATGTAACTTCTATAAGACTTACACATCAATTAATGTTGATAGATGCTGATTTAGTTCATGATGACGTTGAAAGTACTCTGCTGAAAGAAATTGAAACAGTAAGAAATTGTGAGAAGAAATTAGAACAGTTCACAAATAAATGTATCAATCAGGTATGTCGTATGCTTGCGAGTAATACATGACGTTAATCTTGAAAATCTCATTCTATCGCATCTTTCAGTTGACAAATAATCGAGCGATGCAACATCAGCTGCAAATAAATATACGGAACAAGAAAACAGCATTAGGAATCGACATGTGTCACCAGATAAATGATTTTAGCCGAGACTTGCAATATTATGATGAAACAGAAAAATACGATCCTAGGTGATTATTAAAAATTTTCTATTCGTAAACGGATGTGTAGTATTTGATTCAAAAAAAAGCAAAAAAAAACTCAGAAAATGAAATTTCATTATATTATTCAATATTTATTTCACATTTAGTCTGTTAAACGAGATATGTGTGATTTTTAGATAAAAATTAATACTTATCTAACTGCATATATTTAAAAGAAATCTATTAATCTTTATACGCTTCATTTCTTTCCCAATTATCCTTTTACAGTATCACCGAGATCGAATCTTGGGCGGAAACGGCAAACAATGTGGTGAAGAAATCAGAGGCAGAATGTGTGAAATCATGTCAATTACGAAGTGACATCGATAGTGCCATAAGCGCTGTGAGCTACAAGATATATAAAGCTTGGGAAAACACCAATGAGGCGCTGGACAGAAGAGTTATTGAAATACTGGAAACAAAGGAAAAACTACAAACACATTTGCATAAGGTAGTAGCACAAGAAATTAAGATTACAATAAGATTACGCGGATTTTTATTAGCATTTCAAATAATACAAGACATCTAAAGAACATCTGAAAGATTATGCAAAATTTTTAAATATTTATATCATTCTTATGTGTTAAGTTCGATCTGTATTGAATTTTTTAGATACAAAAAGAAATCTTGGACATCGATAAGAACATGAAACTAATACAAAAGACCATCGCCGATAAAGGTTCAGAACTGAAAGTTGCAAACATGCGACCGGAGACCAGAATGTACTGTCCGGAAGCTGAACTATGCAAGGATCATGCCCAATTCAGGTTTGCTAGAATCATTTACACATATGACTATTAAAACGATAATACTTGGACGTTCTACAGGATAATTAAAGAGGTGAAGGATATTAATAAAATGGTATACGATATGAATTTGATATTGCAACAGTGTGAGGCACAATATCAACAACTCTTACGCACGAGGTCTAATCTGGAAAGCGATTTGAAGTCCGAAACAGACGCGCTCTTCATCGATAGAGAAAAGTGCATGAGTCTCAGGAGAAGTTACCCGATTTCGTCGACCGTAAAATTTTAAAGTACTTACATTGCAGATAGATATATAAAATTTTTGCAAATTTAAAAGAAACATTGATTGGAGATATATATTTAACAAATTATTAAATTAATAATGAAACAAGATCATTGAAAAATAAACATACATGTGCACAATTTTCTTTATCTATATTATGAGCTACAGATCAATAACGTCTTTAGGCGAAATAATATTACCTGTTTATTCGTACAAATATTTTATGATACAACCAATAACTCAGATCTATAGTTTATGATCTTGCATTTGTACAGTTTCTCATTAATAGGACTTTAAGTATTTCATTGTGAATGTGAATTGCACATTGCTTTTAGGAACATCCACAAGTGATATACTACAATAGTTTCTTTAATTTGTCTCTAAAATAAAGCTATATATAATATATACATATATTATATATGATATATATATATATGTATACATATATGTACGCACTATATTCATAAATATATACTATAATACATATGTATTATGTGTACTTATAGTTATATGTATTTAAACACGTGTACGACAATGTTTACAAAAAACACTTGAACGAACATATTACAATAAGATGCTGTAAAAGATATAAAAAAATATTGAAGATTCTTTTTGATTACGCAAAATAGAAAGTATCATCACATTTTAATTCACGTTTCTAGTCCATTTAAAAGTTGCTAAAGTATCGTATACGTTTTTCGTTATCACCTCTTTATCGTAATCTTCTTTCAAGTAGAAAATTTTAATGTTTTCTTGCATGTGACACTCTAGGACATTCCACTTTTCGAAAAGCTTGAAGGAGTTCTTTATCGGATCGACGCATAAACTCTCTCCTATTATAAGAAAAAAAAAATACCAGAATAAAAAAAAATCCATGTGAAAAAATCTCCATCTTTTTTGTTAAGTCAATGGCCTCACAAAACTGCATAATTATTTCGCATATTGTAAACAAATTTACGCAAAATGCAAAATTGAAGTAAATAGAATTTTATAACATTTGAATCTAATTGAGTTTGAATTTATACTTGAATCTAATTGAGATCATTGATTTTTATAGACATTATTACTCACCGTAACTAACTATGCCTCCGTCCAAATTAGTTTTGATTTCGCTCAATACTTCTTGGACTAAATCTCGCTCGCAGAGTTGACGGCCGACTAGCTTCATCAAATTGAAAGCGCTACATGTATACGTATCGATTAACGGCCGTAATGCCATATGCAGGAATTCCATGTGACTGGAGTGCTCTGGGTTTAAACTCAGCTAAAAATGATTAAAAAACATATAAATCACAAATATGAAATCATGCTCTTATATAATTAGTATACAATTAATGATAACTCATACTATTAATACTAATTATCTTAATGTTTAATTACTGATGGTTATATTGTAAATTTGTGTACGATAATCTTTAATGTCCACCAATGTGCACTAGTATATCCAACTGAATTCTCTATTATGTTGATGTTATTTCGTTATTACAGTGTTATATATAGCTATTCTCATACACAAAAATATTCTATCAATGTTTAAAAAATTCAATTTACTTTATATTTAATGTTGCAGATTTTTTGTTCTCTCTGGTATTCTTCATCCGAACTGTCGTCAAAACTTGTCGCATATCTTTTACTCCAAAGCTCATCCTCAAGGTAAGCTCTCTGTCAAAATCATTTTTTTTTTTTATGTCGATCCAAGAGAGAGATATTTGATTATCTATCGAAATACACAAAACATACCTCTTGTTTACTGATAATGCCTTTATGTGTGAATTTATATATCGTGTCGAGAACTATATCTTCAAGCTCTTGGCAAGGCCTGCAGAAAATGAACTCATACCTCAGAATGTCACACAATTTGAGTGCTCGATCGATCAAACTGCCTTGGAGCACTGTAATATTGTTCTCGGCAATTGCGATCGGATCGTTAATCTGTGACTGCAATTCAGCATACAAAGCAGTTACTGAAAATATAACAATAGATTTCGTTACAGAATCAAAAGTGACTCGCCGATTCTGTTGAATATCTTACCTACTATGCTGTCCATAACATAATATAGCAACATAGTGTTGCTATAGTACGATAACTCGATCACATTTGGCAGAATCGACACAGGACGGATTGCGATGACAACGTTTGATTTGTAAGACTGATCGCCATCGACAGATTCAGTGATTTCTTGTCGCTGTTGCATCACTAAGCCCGGGCCCAGGATATCCAGCTATATAATTCAACGATTGATAAATTTATTCATTTTTTTTCTCTACAGCTCTACATTTTATTTATCGTCCACTAACCGCGTGTTTAATAATATCAATATTCTCTCCACAAAAGGCTACATCCATGTTGTTAAATTCCAGCTCTAGCCGTATCGATTCGAACGCTTCGACCAATTTATCTAATGTACAACCGTCTCTAAACCTATTTAATAGTAAAAATGCAACAACATTGGTCGACATGATTGGTGTGGATTTGGATGAATCTGGAAGCGATTAGAGATAATAGTCCAGATTAATAAAAAATTATTTTATAAGAAATAGTAGAGAAAGCGCGTTAAATTTTACTGATTCTGTAAGAAATCAGTGTCATTTGAATAATATTATTTTGCGATTGATAGAAAAATATATCCAAGTAATATTTAATTCATAGGATCTCCATACTAAAGCCGACAAAATTCTATAATAATCATTTTTACTCACCATACACAACATGGCGGGCGATCATGTCCACCAATTGACGATGTTCTTCTACAATAACATCTGTACCGTAAAGAGATGAATTCGACATAGTATATTTTAAAGGTCGTTTCGATGGTGATCGAAGAGGGATTCTATTTTGTTGAGCTTGGAAGGTCTTTACCATTTCCTGTTGAAAATTTTTTCCATATTAACAGCTCTTGTGGTCACCGATATGGCAAATTTTTATTTGATGTAAGAATAATTATCTCACCCTAAGAGAAAATGGTTGACAGAAATCGATCTTGACGATACCGTAGTGGCCCATGAGCGTTGACCACATGGCTTTTATTGCCGAAGTGAAAGTCTCCATTTTCTTCGGTTGTCCTAATTGTTCCCTGACGAAATTTCCATCCACCAGTCGTTCATAGTTCATCGCTATCGGTATCAATAATGCATCTTCGATTGTACCGTCCATGTACGCGTCGACAATGACGCCCAGAATACCGCTTTTTGGCATGCAAGGCTTGCCGGTTCTCGTGCGACCGCCCTCCACAAAGAATTCCATGTTGTATCCGGCACGAAGATTCTCCATGATGTACGCCTGAAGAATCGCGCGGTAGAGAAGATCCTTGCGTCCCGCTATCGGATCGATACGACGTTTGATGAAGAAAGCACCCAAACCTCTCAGCAACCATCTAATAATATCAATCGATATACAAATGTATTTTTATAAACGTTAGATAACTGTTAGAATAAGAGATTGGTGTTAGATCCTAAGCTTACCCAAAAAATGGAATCTTCAAATTATCCCCTGCTGCAATTAACGGATTTCTTATGTTATTCGTAACCATGAGAAAGCTGATCATTATGTAGTCTAGATGACTGCGATGCAGCGGTAGCAGCACGAGCGGTAAACCGGTGTCGTTCGCCTTCTTCAACAATTCTATTTGTGAGGGCAATACAACGGCGGATTGTATGAAACAGGGCAGCAGTTTATATATTAGCCACGCGATTATCTTGAGCAAGGCGTCGCTGCATCTGCTCTCCATTTGCAGTAATATGTTCTTGGCTCTGGTTTTCGCCTTCGCGAATGCCTTGTCCTCACTGCAACCCTCATTTTTAACTGTGTCCCAGGCAGTTAGCGTGATAGCGTCTTTCAATCGTTCGTCGTTTAGGATCTACGGTACACAACGAGAGTATGAATCTTTGACAAAGATAAAATTATCTTCTTTCGAGACAAGTATTTATGAAATAGCAACTTACCGTCTGCGTGATCATTGGATAGTTATACCTCTTGAAGCTCGAGACATAAGATACACAATTGAATATTCTTGAGAAAAGTGTGGGACCTGGTTTTACCAGCAATATGTTTAGACCGAACGGATGCAGTTGCTGTTTCTCGCGCACAGTAGTTACTAACGACTCCTGTCAAGTAAAAAATGAAACATGTACTTTTATTAAGATTACAAGATTGAAGAGATTATATATACAGGGTGGTCCATTTTAAAAGAGCCAGTCAAATATCTCGAAAAATATGGAAGATACGGAAAAATAATTGTTTTTAAGAAAAAGTATGTAATTATTTATAATGTATTTATAATGTATTTTTTAAAACAATTATTTGTTTTTTTCTTTACACTGATTGATTTGTGTTATTATTCTGTACATAAAAGTATTACGGTAAGATTATCGAGAACTAAATATTTTACGAGATATTTTAATTTTTATATCGAAATATGTCAGATTAAAATATAAAATAACTCAAAAAGTATTTAATAAAAAAATACTTTTTTGTAGTGTTTTGGAAAGCTCTCGACATAAGTTATAAGAATATGCAATGAAAAATGGGGGTTTCCATTTAAGAAATTGAAAGTGACCTTCATGTGACCTTCAAATGACTATCCAAGGTCACATCAATGGCACCGTCTTATGTTCCCCTTCGAACCAAACAACTTTTGTCTGAAACTTTTTTCCGTATCTTCCATATTTTTCGAGATATTTGACTGACTCTTTTAAAATGGACCACCCTGTATATATTAAAATTTACATTATATATACACACACGCACACATTAAATATATAAGATACAGTAAGAGGAAGCACAAAGAAGAGGTTAAAATTTATTCTTTTAGAAATTTATAAGGGCATAATGTTTTGAACTAAGTGATTTTCCAATTACAGCTACTTTACAATTAATTTTTCTAGTTCTCTAATCAGAAACTTTGAAACATTCAGGATAAAAATATTATAAAATTGATTATGTTAGCTTGTTATCGCCAACTTACATTTTTTGGGTATCCCCGAACGATTACAATACGCCACCACCGTGATACGAATCCACGTGGTTCCTCGCACATTTCTCTTACCATCAAAAAATCAAATACATGTTTAATGTAAACATATCAACTGCCATTACTGTTATGTGATAACGATTACAAAATCTCTCGTGATTCATAAGTTTATAGACACTTTTCCATCACTTTAAAGCATAATTGTTTACATTGATTTTCTGATCAAATCATAAAATCTTCATCCAATATCATTATCGAGATAATTAATTATAAGAAATGTAAAAAATTCAAAGTCATCTAAAATATTTTACGGACACAAAAAAAGCGCAGCGTTCATTAAATATAACTCGAAATATGTGTGTCACCAAACTGGATCTCTTTTAATGGATCTCTCTTTTTCCGATTCTGCTTCGGAGAGGATTGGAATTTAAGTTTCCATCAAGGCAAAACTCACGCATTGATGCGCACATACGTGCGTGATAATTGCTCTTATCCAAGGATGAGCAAATAATATTAAAGAGGAGTTATATAATTAAACGCGTGTCAGAGGACATCTTTTAATTAGGTAATGAAGATATAATAACTGCAAGTATCGCGAGAGCACTGATAATGAGTGACGTCCAATCATATGATTCTGATCTATCAGACAATACGATATTACAAAATGTCGTTGTAATAATGCAGCAGTCGATGCGTCATACAGACAAATGCCATAAATGCACGGGCGCGCGTTTCGCGTAAAATGACAAGACGCCGTTCGCAGAATTTCGTCTTGAAATCTTTACAGGCGGTTGATCTTTGAACGATTTATTTGCGTCATCGTTGCTTGCGGTGCTCTACCACACCTTGCTCTTATACGGTCTCTCTAGTTGCGTATCAAAAAATAGATCACGATCGTGGGTGTAAAAAGAAACGGAACATTTTACGGAAGCTGTACCGATAACGCGAGTCGGGGATTAGTGTGAATTATTGTAAAAAATGTGATTGCGAAAAGTCACGAGACAGATGCGTAAAACTCGCGTTCCGCGTGGTTACGAGACTAAGGAACGTAGCATCTGGCTAAACGATCTCGACTAAATGTATTTTTAGTGTCGTTCATGTCGTCCGACGATATATAGAAACCTTTCTTGTGATTTTAAATAACGACTAAAGCACGCGACTTCTCTTACGCGCATTTTGGTCGCATTGCAATTATATGACTGTCAATGAATATCGGTTTCGCGAATAAAGATGTAATGAATCTTGACAATCTTCGCATAAACAAAACGAATTATTGCTTTAGATCCTAGATAATATTAAGTTCTCTAAAAAATTTTACCACGGATAATAATCAACTAGCCCTCTCTTTAATATCTCAAATAAATATCGATTAAATTCTGATTAATAAATGAACCTATAAAGCAAATATTTTGTAGATAAGTCGTAAAAACGTGTCTATTAGTTATTAGTTATAAAACATTGCATGTTATAAGATGCTTTCAAGTTATAATGCATTAAGATAGAATAAGATATTTAATATAGATTAAATCACATGTATAACATACTTCAATAATTAAAATAATTCTCACTAATTTTTTAGCAATTTTATTAGAAATCACAAACAGCTCAAGGTAGGTCTTTATTCACCTCGCTGCGCCATATCCCCTCAACTTTATGCATCGACGAACAATGGATCGACGGCAATCAAACCGGAGGTCGCCGATATTTAATGATATAAATTCGGTAAGTTAAACTAACTACGCCATTTTAATTCGACCCGTGCACGCCCACGCGTGAAATTGCGCGATAGACTAGATTGGCAATGAACACGCGAGAAGATGTCGATGATTGACAAATCGGTCGGGTTTGCGTGGCTAGTCGAGATAAAAGACGGCGATAGGTCACGCGTACAAAAACTCACTCTGGAAGCAGGCGTGCACTTGTTGCAGCACTGTTGCAGGAACGAAAGCTTTTGTCTGGTCCGTGGCGGTAGGGGCTCGCTTTCCTTAATCTTGTACAACGAGAAATCGCGTAGCTTACGCCAATCTTCCCTCTCTTGAATCTTATATCGCCGAGAGTTTTGCCCGGCCTGCCGGAGACCTGTAATCGTGAACGTATCGCGTTTAATTCAAATGTATACTCATTACAAAAAAAGTCGTCTATATAAAAGATGATAACAAAGAACTTTAGACAGTATAATAATTTATCTACTTTTAAAATATATAAAATAAGAAAATTTGAGAAACAAAGACTCATTGATTGTTAAATCAAATTAAAAATATGAAATAAGATCAATAATAGGGATAAAATATAGTAGATGTTTGTTGTTGCATTACTGATACAAAAAATTAATAAATATATTACAGCAGTATTATTAAATGCTGATTCGAGAAAAAGATAATGTGGAAAATAATCTTTGCTCTTAGAGTCGTTAAACAAATATGGCACATAATATTTTGCAAGATAAGAGTGTTTATTCGGGTATGCATCTCATTTGATAGAATTTCACTGCAAGAAGATAATTATATACGAGACAATCCTTGTTAACTATAATAACTGTACAGTCCTAACTTACGCAAGAATAAATTCAAAACGAAAGAAAAGAAAATTGCCGTTACCATCCAGTGTGAATCGACTGCCTGTCGATTCCGCATTTCGCACTTCCGTCCTGGCTTCCCAATTGGCGTATACTTCCTGCAAACGCGTAGATAGCACGCCCACCATATTATTGGGTCTGTAAATTGGTATAGACGAACACAAAAATTAAACAAACTAAAAAATAAAAAATTAAGTAAAAAGTAATGAAATTAGAATGATACAGAGAAAATAAATCCTTAATAAAATTTCGTTGAGAATAAAAGTTGGAATATAATATAATAGAAAAATGATTATTTTCATTTTATAATGCTATTAAATAATATTATACATTAATGCATTGGATATTTAAGTAGGAATAATATTATACGCTAATGTTTAAGGAAACAAATTTTTCTATCACAAGGTTTATCGCGATTAATTTTACGCGAGCGAAAAAAATGTACAATTTGTCAAACAAAATTACGAATTTTATTATAGCTATTAAAAAATAGATTTGTGATCAATTGCTATCGGATCCGCAATCGTGTGATACGCATGATGCGCTCGTCACCAATGTATGCGGCCCGGAAAATCGAGAAAGCGGAAAAACTATTGCGGAACAACGTAATTGCAAGAGCAAATTGTTAAGACACGCTTAATTATGCTTCTTATTGGAAACGGAATGAACGAATCGCGATAATACGTGATGTCTTTCGCGTCCCATCGTGGGATGCATTTTCTCTCTTATTAGATACTTCGAGATTGAATGAAAAAAATGTTGATATTTGTTTCTCAATGCATCGATAATCTTTCTTGTAAGCAATCAAACGATATAAACGATATTAAAGAAGTAAACGAGTGACAAAATCTTTAGCATGTTTTAGAACTTGATCATTTTTTTATTGAGAAATTAATATTCAAAGAGAAAGCTAATAATTAATAGAATATGAAATTTTAAAATTGGCATAACATTTTAAAACTGAAAAGTTATGTAAAATACATTTAAAAAATATGTACTCAATAAATAAATTTATAAAGTTACGAAAAAATTATAATTCGCTACAAATTCTTCGAATCATAAAATTTCATTTAATTATGAATAAAAATTGTTCATATGTGGCTGTAATAATCGACCAATTCATATATGACAAATGAATAATTAAAGTTAATTAAGAATCATATTATATATTTTTATTAAAATTGATAGCTCGGATTAGAAAGTAATATATTTAACTTGTAACCTTTAATTTGTATAAATTTATATTTTCTCAGATCATGTTTCAAGCACAGCAGTGCACTTTATTGCATTTTTTGCATTACACATAGAAAGTTGAATGTTCAATGTTTATATAAGACAGTTTATCCCTGATTTATCATTTTCGCTCTAGTTCTGCGTATGATATAAATGAAGCTAAAAAAGATTCTAATCAAGGAGCTTTTTAGCATACAATGTATCGCGTGATTTTCAATCTATGTGTCGTGTATAGCAATGGCTGCGAGCGCAATCGTCACGAAGACTGTACTTCATGGTGATGGTCCAGAAGCGAGAGATTGCCAAGAGTTACCGTCGATTAGGCTCATACAATCCCGACAATGGCGTAGTACGTCCAGGGTTACGCGAGAAACATTAACAGAGAAAGATGTAATATATCAAATAATCTCAAAAAGATATAATGTTAAAAATGGAGCAGAAAAGACAACAACAACAAAAAAATACATTTATATTACCATTTTTTTTATCTTACTAATTTGCCGCATATTATATATTTATGATATTACGATGCACGTTGTTTTTCTCTATATGTTTTTCTGTGTATAATTATTTAAGCAAATTTCAATGTCTCCTCATAAAAAACATATCAGATAATTATGTTTCACGATTACACGATAACGATTATACGATTACGAATTCACATTATCGATTCACTCATGAATATTAAATCGGTGTGTTGTAATAGTAGATATTTAAATGTCCAATTTTCACACAAGCTTTAATTTTTCATTTATCGAGGATTATAATTAGTAAAATTTGGGTAATTTCCGTTTTTTTATATACGCATAAGATATGTAGACTGTACAACATATCTTATGCGTTAATTATCATCCTTCAAATATCACAAATAAAATATGTTTTTCTGTGTCTACAGCATCGAGATTTAAATTCCAGCAAAGTTATGTAGCATTTTCAATATAAATTGATAAAATTGCTTTTGTGTGTGTGTGTTATTGGATATATTATAAAAAGAATATCTCTATTAAAAATAAATACGAAAATTTTATCTCGAAAAAGAGACAGCTCGGTAATATTCGGTGATTTTTATTTTTTTCGCAAGCTAAGGAAGCTGAAGAATTGGGCTTTAATACCTTTTGTGTCGAAATACTTCGTGACAAAGCGTGATAATGCCGACACACGAATATGATATAATAATTGTCGGCTTAGCTTAATCGTATATTGCTATTTATAATTAATACTATTGATAATTATGACTTTACAACATTAGATTATACAGAGAGACAAAAAACGGTTTTGTACAAAGTACTATGATAAACGACATGACATGGCGTGATAACCAATGTTCCGCTGAAATTGTAGGAGATAAAGAGATGTTGCAAAGAGTGTGAATGAAAAAAATTTCGACGCGATGCATGATGAAATATGTTATTTTTGTGTCATATTATATGTCATTATGTGTCATTTAACAATAATAATTGTGAAACAAGCCAATGTACAACAATGAGCGGTGATCCAATCTTTACATTCAAAATAAAAACGTGCACTCTGTATAAAGACAGAAACTTTAATCCTAAATGGAAGTAAAATTTTTTGGGCGGTTGCTTATTTTCAATATTGTCAAGTTTATATATATTATATATATATATAAACTTGATATTGAAAATAAGATTAGTTTATGAATAATATTGTGAGCTCACAACAATTATGTTACGTCAGAAGCAATAAGTTATGTTGATACTTTTCTTGTGAAACATACGTCAAACCAAATCAATTTTTTCATATGCTATTTTTTTCTGTTATAATTTGCATTCGATAAATATAAATTGGTAAATTATGCCAAAGATTTCTTTGTTATTTTCGGGAATTAATAAATAGCTGTAATAAATGGCTGACTAGAAATTTTAAGAATAATATAAAATAAAAGATATAATAAAATTAATTTAAGAAAAAAAGAAGAAGCAATATGTTTTTATCGTAATCAAGTTTTTTCATATTATGTGTGAAGAATATCAAGATCAATATAGAATAATATGAAATATATGTGACAAAAGTAATATAAAAAATATATTTGGTAGATGGACAATTATACAAAACTCATACATATAAATTGATACTTGGTACATTTTCTGTCTGTATTTTTTTCTATCTTTCTATCCTATTTCTTCGAAAAAAACGTAAGAATTTTTAATCAAAATCGTATATAATGCGTCTGCAGATAAGTTAATAGCTATAGATGTAATCTTTCCTCCAAGCAATTTTGCATATTATTATCTAAAAAGATAAGGATGTTTGCGGAAAAATCAGTTGATCTAGTTTTTAACAAAAAATATAATTAAAGAAAATCATAATAGCAAATCAATTGAATATAAAATCTTCGATCATACGATCTTGCGTATATGCAATATCGCGCGTGTGCGGTTACATAAATGGAGGATTAAGTGTTGCTCTCTATGTGGGAAACGAGTGCATCTATTATCTTGTATTCTGGCGAACGCCATTGCGCGAAGTCTCGGTTGATTTATGCGTGTCGCTTGCATACGTATGTGCGGTACACATTAAACATAAGAAATCGCCTCCACAGAAACTATTCTATTACGTATCTGCGGTTCTTTTCTACACCGCAAGCTAGGGATGATATTATAAAAAAAAAAAAAGATATTGATACGTTCTTTTCGATTTAGAATCCTTTTGGCACAATGGCACAAATACCATCAGAAAGAAATAGATAGTGAATTAAATCGTTAAGGGAACTAATTAATATTCCTAATCAAAAATTGATTCAAAATTCAAATTTGAAAACATTAAAAACATGATCAATATAGAAATCCTTTTTTTTTTATTTCTCAGAAGAAAGACTTAATATAATTATAAATCAAAGAAAAAAAAATCCATATTATAAAATAATTAAATAGCTTACTTAAAAAGTTGAATCGTTTTAATTGATTTTCAAAACATAAAGAGAAAAATAGTTCCAAAAAAGAGGAATATATAAAATCAATGAGGAAAATTTATGAGGGTATCAGTGCAATACCGAAACATTATAACAAAGACGAATGTATTGTACGACAACATTGAAGATTATCCGGATGGCCGATAACAAGCTCGATGATGGACTTTGTATTTACAGCTGCTAAAAACAAAAGAAGCAAGGGTTTGTACTCGGTTAATAATTATTGTCAAAGTCCACTGTCCATGTTGATAAATCTATCGCGTGAATAACGCGTGCAAGGGGAAAAACTGAAGAGCGGAAGAGAATGACACTGCGATTCAAAACATAATCCAAGAAAGACGGAAATTGCCGTCGGACTCTGAAATGAAACATTCAAAGGTTCTTGAACGATGGACGGAATGATAAAAACGAGAAATCGATTTTCGCGATCGCGGAAACAAAGGTCATTTTCGCGCTGCGTTCGCTTGAAATCATGTCAATTCATTTCGGAGGATCAATATATAATTTACATTTATTTATATATAATTAAAAATTTATTGCTATCACTATAATTATAAAACTTATCTTGACAACTGTGCTTCTGTAATCTTCTATAACCGGCAAAGAAAGCAATAATAATGCGATAAAAATAATATTTAAATTAGCGCCAAAAGAAAATTGTTATTTAAATCTCGCAAGATACATTTCGATGCATTTTCATATATTTCAATTGCAATGATTTTGCAATACATTATAATAAATGCATTAGCGAGTATAATATTACATTCACATTGTGCTCCCAGACAGGGTGAAATTTATTTAAATTGCTCATCCGGAGCAGTTCAAAAAACCTTGTAAACATAATCGAGATTCGATGAATATAAACATATAATCTAACAGATTAGATTGTAAAAGTGTGTAAATTATTTAGTATAATTATTTAGCATAAAATTTACACACTTTTGCACTAACATACTGATGCGATAGATCATACATATTACACGAGATGTTTTTTTGTTAGTTTGCTCGACTCAGCACAGAACTATGAACTTATTTCTATTGTGCAAGTCGGGTTATCGACATCGAAACTTTTGCATTGTTGGAATTAAAATATATGCATTATTTCACTGACTTATCGAACTTAATGGTTGATCGTGCTGAGTAATAGCAATGGAAATTACCGATTACTCGCAATAAACAGCGAGAGTCCTTGGTATATATCGTGTGTTAATAGTAAAATTTAGAACACTGCTACTAAAACTGAATAAATATGAGAAATATCACTTGAATTTTCACGACATTTTCAAATTTGCATATAACTGCAGTTCTTTTTATTTTTTTATTAAAATTTGCATTATATTAAAGTTGCACCATTTGTTAATTTCAGTTTCTTTGCCGCACACACACATCTGAAACTGATTTTTTCTGAACATTTGAAGGAAAAAAAAAACACAACATGCATCTATGGTGGAAATTAGAATCAGAATAAACTTTAAAACTGAAATTAAATAAGAAAAGGATGTTTTTCAAAGGTATGTTTTTTAATAGATTAAATATCACATGAAACGCCAAAAATAAAAAAAAAATTAATATAATTATTCTCTTAATAAAATATTACTTATTTAAGATTATTGGCATTCGTATTAATGAAACATCTAGATAATAAAGACATTTTTCAATGGAAGAGATTCTTGAGTAATCGGATTAGTATTATGATTTCGGATGTAATTCGAATATTATTCAAATATATGTGTAGGAATCATACATCGACAAGATGCGGCTCGTAATAAAGAGAAGCAAGGTCGCGGTGAAATCGCGTATAATGCACTTTTGACAGTAAGCGTATATTTCAACGCATGAGTCAATAACCAGATCGGACATGTTTTCGCGGAATTGTCAGATCTCTTATTCTGCAAGCGAGAAACAATAATGTCGACACGAAGCAAGGCTTATTCTGGAATACCTTTCGACATCTGGTCGTCGGCAATACATATTGCGCTCGCGATAATTTTAAATCGAAAATCGAGCTCTTCCATTGGACTTCATTGCATTTAAGAGCGATTAAAACGGTTTTATCTATTTTACAACGACCGGTTATCCTAAAAGATCATTCTTTAGCGATTTATCAACGGGACTCGAAACTTAATGATTTAAATAACAGCAAAAGATAAACTTTATTATTCGCGAACATAATACCTAAGATAAATGCTGAAAATGGTCAGAAATGAAAATGGTGAAGAAAGACGATCAAAAAGAAAAAGTGTACACATTTGACAAGATTATGAAATACAAATATTATATAAATATTGTAAATATATCAAACATACACACACATATATATAGCAATGACATGTTACGATATCTTGATCAGTAAAAATATTTCAGGTCAATATAGCACACGTACGTTGAACTCAAGGATTACGAGATATTTTGACATCATTCTTGATAATGAGCAAACATTTATACATCACATGCTATCAAAACAGGAAATAAGATCAACTGTTGAAAGGGGCAAAATTAATTAAATATTAAATCAAAGATAATCAAAACACAAAAATGTACGTTGCGTCGTACGATTTCTATTACAATAATATTAAATTACAGAAAATTATTTTCTTATACGTACATACAAACTTGCCTCGTATAATTAAACTAATAAAGGTGTTTACCGCCAGAATTACGTGATACTTTCTCTACTATAGATAATAAAGATTTAACTGAAAAATCAATGATTATTCTAAATGAAAATCAATGATTTGTTTTCGTTCAAGAATCGGTAAAAGATATCTGTGAAGTATGAAAAAAAGTGAAACTTCCCATTGTGGAAATTCTATGGAAACTCTACGATTTTCTAAAACTGCCAAATTTCATTTCAGAACGCATCTAAGTATATCTGGAAATACGATAAGATACCTTAAATACCTTACGATAAGATAAATATCTGAGGCAATTATTTATTCTGCAAGCGAGAAACAATAATGTCGACACGAAGCAAGGCTTATTCTGGAATACCTTTCGACATCTGGTCGTCGGCAATACATATTGCGCTCGCGATAATTTTAAATCGAAAATCGAGCTCTTCCATTGGACTTCATTGCATTTAAGAGCGATTAAAACGGTTTTATCTATTTTACAACGACCGGTTATCCTAAAAGATCATTCTTTAGCGATTTATCAACGGGACTCGAAACTTAATGATTTAAATAACAGCAAAAGATAAACTTTATTATTCGCGAACATAATACCTAAGATAAATGCTGAAAATGGTCAGAAATGAAAATGGTGAAGAAAGACGATCAAAAAGAAAAAGTGTACACATTTGACAAGATTATGAAATACAAATGTTATATAAATATTGTAAATATATCAAACATACACACACATATATATAGCAATGACATGTTACGATATCTTGATCAGTAAAAATATTTCAGGTCAATATAGCACACGTACGTTGAACTCAAGGATTACGAGATATTTTGACATCATTCTTGATAATGAGCAAACATTTATACATCACATGCTATCAAAACAGGAAATAAGATCAACTGTTGAAAGGGGCAAAATTAATTAAATATTAAATCAAAGATAATCAAAACACAAAAATGTACGTTGCGTCGTACGATTTCTATTACAATAATATTAAATTACAGAAAATTATTTTCTTATACGTACATACAAACTTGCCTCGTATAATTAAACTAATAAAGGTGTTTACCGCCAGAATTACGTGATACTTTCTCTACTATAGATAATAAAGATTTAACTGAAAAATCAATGATTATTCTAAATGAAAATCAATGATTTGTTTTCGTTCAAGAATCGGTAAAAGATATCTGTGAAGTATGAAAAAAAGTGAAACTTCCCATTGTGGAAATTCTATGGAAACTCTACGATTTTCTAAAACTGCCAAATTTCATTTCAGAACGCATCTAAGTATATCTGGAAATACGATAAGATACCTTAAATACCTTACGATAAGATAAATATCTGAGGCAATTATAAAAAAAAATCAGGAATGAAAATCTATTTGTGTTTTTCCACAAGTCCCAATCGACATAAAAATCTCTCGACGAGAAACAAGATAATCTCTCTTTTTCCCACAAAACTATTTACATTATTTGCGACTTAAAACTCGATATCTCTCACAATGCTAAATGTCGCCGTTTAATTCTCGATTCGAAATAACATTCTATGCAAAATAAGCTTAAAATTAGATGACCACTAAAACCTCTTGAAGGATATCGATATGTATGGATACATAAAATTTTAATACATAAAATCTTTTCACAAATAGTTTATCTTAACGTACAATGGCTATATATATATGTGTACATTATTTTCTTCAGAGATTTCAAACATTCTTCAATTTTTTATGTTTTATTTAATAATTATATAAATATATTCTGAAAAAATATAATTAAACAAAAGAGATAAAATAATTTTTTCCGGCTTCAATAAATCCGTCCCTGAAGAGATTAAAATACAATTACAGTTGATATAATTTTTTTTGTGTTATAGTGAAAGTAATCTTGTCTTTTATAAAATCGCCGGAGTCTGTAACGAATCGATGATCTTGTAGGAACATAACTAATGATTCTATGAAATTGTTAAAAATTATCTACGAGTATATCAAGTTTAATATTTTAATATAACATTCGAATTATTGGCACACGAACACATTATCACGAATCTCCTCTCCGTGATTGAATTACCTGAGATTAAAGAAGTAGCAGAGCACTCCGCAGAAGAGGAAGATTTCGATGAGACCGTCCATCCTCGTTTCCGGCACTCTTTTTCAATGTACTTCAACTCGAGCAACTAATTCGGGGGAAACAAAACCGTCTTATACGCACTACATACACACGTTGATCAATCGATGATATATCGATCGTTGGCCATGATTAACCCGATCGATGATCAGTGGTGTATCAACGACGTCGCGGGATTATCTTCGCAGGTGGCGAAACAACGTGCGGCGGTAGCAAATATCGCGGACAGACGCGGTCGATCTCGCAGCTCGTGGGATCCATGGATCGACGAAGCGACTCGCTTCCGACGGAGCGAAAGAGAGAAAGAGACAGAGAGAGAGCAGACAAAATCCGACGAGAATCCGACGAGGTTTGAATTCTTGATACGACGATCGCACCAGCCCGTCTGGTCGATCTAACGTCGTCGACTATCGTCGACTTTCTACCGCAACACATTAAGTAACCATCGGAGAACCACTCCGTCGCCACCGCCGCCGCCGCCGCCACCATGGACGGTTCACTGACTCACTGACTCTACCGCGATGATGGTGCGCGATGCATGCGTGCGTGAACTCGACACTACGTTTTCAAGGTACGCGAAAAGGGGAGCGGAGGGTGGCTGCGCAATGACCTTCTGGATCACGAGAATCGGGGAAGAGAGGGAGGTGAAGAAGAGTTGGATCGTGGAGGATGTATCGGACGATTGTCTATCAGTCTCGTATCAGTCACTCTGAACAATTTGGACAGTTACTCTGAAAAATTCTTATTTTTCTAAGGAGCACAAGTAGCGTGCAATAACGTTGATGCAGTTGCAGAATATTATGTCCTATTTAAAGAAGCTGATAAGAGACGCGGAGATTTATTAAGTTTACGGTACATCCAGTAAATTATATTAACAGCGAGAGAAGATGTTGAGAAAATCAACTAGAAGATATAGAGTATATTTGTTTAAATGCTTGCATAATTTTCAGAAAAATGATTTTAAATGTAAACGTAAGAGATGCACAATATATGTTTCTTTATCGCCGCAAGCTTCTAATGACGAAGGCGTAACTAGCGTATTCACGATTGTTCAGTATTTTAAGAGATCATTAAAAACTAACGATTATATTAGTTTCGCGGACACGGTAATGAATAATTTTGTTACGCTAATCAAAAATTGATTCAAAATTCAAATTTGAAAACATTAAAAACATGATCAATATAGAAATCCTTTTTTTTTTATTTCTCAGAAGAAAGACTTAATATAATTATAAATCAAAGAAAAAAAAATCCATATTATAAAATAATTAAATAGCTTACTTAAAAAGTTGAATCGTTTTAATTGATTTTCAAAACATAAAGAGAAAAATAGTTCCAAAAAAGAGGAATATATAAAATCAATGAGGAAAATTTATGAGGGTATCAGTGCAATACCGAAACATTATAACAAAGACGAATGTATTGTACGACAACATTGAAGATTATCCGGATGGCCGATAACAAGCTCGATGATGGACTTTGTATTTACAGCTGCTAAAAACAAAAGAAGCAAGGGTTTGTACTCGGTTAATAATTATTGTCAAAGTCCACTGTCCATGTTGATAAATCTATCGCGTGAATAACGCGTGCAAGGGGAAAAACTGAAGAGCGGAAGAGAATGACACTGCGATTCAAAACATAATCCAAGAAAGACGGAAATTGCCGTCGGACTCTGAAATGAAACATTCAAAGGTTCTTGAACGATGGACGGAATGATAAAAACGAGAAATCGATTTTCGCGATCGCGGAAACAAAGGTCATTTTCGCGCTGCGTTCGCTTGAAATCATGTCAATTCATTTCGGAGGATCAATATATAATTTACATTTATTTATATATAATTAAAAATTTATTGCTATCACTATAATTATAAAACTTATCTTGACAACTGTGCTTCTGTAATCTTCTATAACCGGCAAAGAAAGCAATAATAATGCGATAAAAATAATATTTAAATTAGCGCCAAAAGAAAATTGTTATTTAAATCTCGCAAGATACATTTCGATGCATTTTCATATATTTCAATTGCAATGATTTTGCAATACATTATAATAAATGCATTAGCGAGTATAATATTACATTCACATTGTGCTCCCAGACAGGGTGAAATTTATTTAAATTGCTCATCCGGAGCAGTTCAAAAAACCTTGTAAACATAATCGAGATTCGATGAATATAAACATATAATCTAACAGATTAGATTGTAAAAGTGTGTAAATTATTTAGTATAATTATTTAGCATAAAATTTACACACTTTTGCACTAACGTACTGATGCGATAGATCATACATATTACACGAGATGTTTTTTTGTTAGTTTGCTCGACTCAGCACAGAACTATGAACTTATTTCTATTGTGCAAGTCGGGTTATCGACATCGAAACTTTTGCATTGTTGGAATTAAAATATATGCATTATTTCACTGACTTATCGAACTTAATGGTTGATCGTGCTGAGTAATAGCAATGGAAATTACCGATTACTCGCAATAAACAGCGAGAGTCCTTGGTATATATCGTGTGTTAATAGTAAAATTTAGAACACTGCTACTAAAACTGAATAAATATGAGAAATATCACTTGAATTTTCACGACATTTTCAAATTTGCATATAACTGCAGTTCTTTTTATTTTTTTATTAAAATTTGCATTATATTAAAGTTGCACCATTTGTTAATTTCAGTTTCTTTGCCGCACACACACATCTGAAACTGATTTTTTCTGAACATTTGAAGGAAAAAAAAAACACAACATGCATCTATGGTGGAAATTAGAATCAGAATAAACTTTAAAACTGAAATTAAATAAGAAAAGGATGTTTTTCAAAGGTATGTTTTTTAATAGATTAAATATCACATGAAACGCCAAAAATAAAAAAAAAATTAATATAATTATTCTCTTAATAAAATATTACTTATTTAAGATTATTGGCATTCGTATTAATGAAACATCTAGATAATAAAGACATTTTTCAATGGAAGAGATTCTTGAGTAATCGGATTAGTATTATGATTTCGGATGTAATTCGAATATTATTCAAATATATGTGTAGGAATCATACATCGACAAGATGCGGCTCGTAATAAAGAGAAGCAAGGTCGCGGTGAAATCGCGTATAATGCACTTTTGACAGTAAGCGTATATTTCAACGCATGAGTCAATAACCAGATCGGACATGTTTTCGCGGAATTGTCAGATCTCTTATTCTGCAAGCGAGAAACAATAATGTCGACACGAAGCAAGGCTTATTCTGGAATACCTTTCGACATCTGGTCGTCGGCAATACATATTGCGCTCGCGATAATTTTAAATCGAAAATCGAGCTCTTCCATTGGACTTCATTGCATTTAAGAGCGATTAAAACGGTTTTATCTATTTTACAACGACCGGTTATCCTAAAAGATCATTCTTTAGCGATTTATCAACGGGACTCGAAACTTAATGATTTAAATAACAGCAAAAGATAAACTTTATTATTCGCGAACATAATACCTAAGATAAATGCTGAAAATGGTCAGAAATGAAAATGGTGAAGAAAGACGATCAAAAAGAAAAAGTGTACACATTTGACAAGATTATGAAATACAAATGTTATATAAATATTGTAAATATATCAAACATACACACACATATATATAGCAATGACATGTTACGATATCTTGATCAGTAAAAATATTTCAGGTCAATATAGCACACGTACGTTGAACTCAAGGATTACGAGATATTTTGACATCATTCTTGATAATGAGCAAACATTTATACATCACATGCTATCAAAACAGGAAATAAGATCAACTGTTGAAAGGGGCAAAATTAATTAAATATTAAATCAAAGATAATCAAAACACAAAAATGTACGTTGCGTCGTACGATTTCTATTACAATAATATTAAATTACAGAAAATTATTTTCTTATACGTACATACAAACTTGCCTCGTATAATTAAACTAATAAAGGTGTTTACCGCCAGAATTACGTGATACTTTCTCTACTATAGATAATAAAGATTTAACTGAAAAATCAATGATTATTCTAAATGAAAATCAATGATTTGTTTTCGTTCAAGAATCGGTAAAAGATATCTGTGAAGTATGAAAAAAAGTGAAACTTCCCATTGTGGAAATTCTATGGAAACTCTACGATTTTCTAAAACTGCCAAATTTCATTTCAGAACGCATCTAAGTATATCTGGAAATACGATAAGATACCTTAAATACCTTACGATAAGATAAATATCTGAGGCAATTATAAAAAAAAATCAGGAATGAAAATCTATTTGTGTTTTTCCACAAGTCCCAATCGACATAAAAATCTCTCGACGAGAAACAAGATAATCTCTCTTTTTCCCACAAAACTATTTACATTATTTGCGACTTAAAACTCGATATCTCTCACAATGCTAAATGTCGCCGTTTAATTCTCGATTCGAAATAACATTCTATGCAAAATAAGCTTAAAATTAGATGACCACTAAAACCTCTTGAAGGATATCGATATGTATGGATACATAAAATTTTAATACATAAAATCTTTTCACAAATAGTTTATCTTAACGTACAATGGCTATATATATATGTGTACATTATTTTCTTCAGAGATTTCAAACATTCTTCAATTTTTTATGTTTTATTTAATAATTATATAAATATATTCTGAAAAAATATAATTAAACAAAAGAGATAAAATAATTTTTTCCGGCTTCAATAAATCCGTCCCTGAAGAGATTAAAATACAATTACAGTTGATATAATTTTTTTTGTGTTATAGTGAAAGTAATCTTGTCTTTTATAAAATCGCCGGAGTCTGTAACGAATCGATGATCTTGTAGGAACATAACTAATGATTCTATGAAATTGTTAAAAATTATCTACGAGTATATCAAGTTTAATATTTTAATATAACATTCGAATTATTGGCACACGAACACATTATCACGAATCTCCTCTCCGTGATTGAATTACCTGAGATTAAAGAAGTAGCAGAGCACTCCGCAGAAGAGGAAGATTTCGATGAGACCGTCCATCCTCGTTTCCGGCACTCTTTTTCAATGTACTTCAACTCGAGCAACTAATTCGGGGGAAACAAAACCGTCTTATACGCACTACATACACACGTTGATCAATCGATGATATATCGATCGTTGGCCATGATTAACCCGATCGATGATCAGTGGTGTATCAACGACGTCGCGGGATTATCTTCGCAGGTGGCGAAACAACGTGCGCGGTAGCAAATATCGCGGACAGACGCGGTCGATCTCGCAGCTCGTGGGATCCATGGATCGACGAAGCGACTCGCTTCCGACGGAGCGAAAGAGAGAAAGAGACAGAGAGAGAGAGCAGACAAAATCCGACGAGAATCCGACGAGGTCTGAATTCTTGATACGACGATCGCACCAGCCCGTCTGGTCGATCTAACGTCGTCGACTATCGTCGACTTTCTACCGCAACACATTAA